CTGGGCTGGCTCCCGCAGTGGCTGGCGCTGCATGAATCAGGTGCGAGTCCGGGCCGCGGAGTGCCTCCTTGCACGGTGGGAGGCGGGGCGGCACCTCGCGCAATTTCAAATGCACGCTGGGCCTCTAGTTTCATATAAATGAATTTTCCTTTTTGACAAAAAGAAATTCCGAAGCTGTAGAGAACTCTTTAAATTCTGAAGTTACACTCTTGTTGTGGTTCATGTATAATAGGATGCTGTAGGATCAAACACCCCAATACTTTCATTATTTGATGGATAGCAGACTTTTTGTTTTTTTAAACCAGTGTCTCTGATTTGAAGTTACCTTAATAGATTGAAATCATATTGAAAACTACTGAGCCAGCATGCCTTTTGAAAAATAAGGAAGAACTATTGTTTACTATTACTGGGAACAAGCATTCAAAAAAATAGAATAACCACAGGTATATTGATTATTTCACATTTGAAAAATGCAGAGCATTAATATAATATTATGCTTCTTAAATATTAACCCTAGCCTTGATTGTAAATAGCAAGTTATAAAATTGCCTGGAAGATTTATAATAGAGTATATAAATATTCATATTATATGCATTTCATGCTTTGTCAAAGATAATGAATTTTCATGATATCTCAGACAATAATGGATTAATATTAATATTTAGACAAAAAATGTAAATTAATAGTGTTAGAGAAACAGGTATTTATACTTCATACTATGTTCAGGTTTGACTTCCAAGTGATTTAGTAATGGAATACTGGCAACTCACTGACGTGAGGCTTATAAAATTTTTTGTCTTTGGTATAGTGGGGATATCAGTTTATTGCTTTGATAATCTAGCTCAGAAGCCTATGAATAACATCATAAATAAGGGTTCATTCAGTAACCATGAAATAAGTACATTTAAGCCTTAACAGTGGTCAGCAAACTCATTAGTCAACAGAGCCAAATATCAACAGTATGATTGAAATTTCTTTTGAGAGCCAAATTTTTTAAACTTAAACTATATAGGTAGGTACATTGTTAGTAACTTAATTAGGGTACTCCTAAGGCTTAGGAAGAGCCACAGTCTAGGGGCCAAAGAGCCACTTGTGGCTCATGAGCCGCAGTTTGCCAACCACGGGTCTAGGAGATACTATACATGTGACAAAGTCAGTGTACATTTGCATGTGTGGTTCTGATGTGTAAATTGAGTGTCCATGTTAGAAAAAAGAATCATTTGTAAAACTGGGTTTGACTGTTATGCTGGTTATAGACTTTGAAACTTTCCTGATCTGCTTCTCAGCAATTAAATTGGAAAGCTTGCCCAGCTTCACCTTGTTTACTTACTAATCTCATACAGTGCTCAGCTGGGCTTGTAAGGGAAGCGCATTCGTGGGCCTTGCTCTCCACTGAGCAGGAACTCTGGGCTTTTGGCTCTGTTTGTTGAAGGCAGTAGAAGGCTCTGACAGAACAAGGACAAAAGTTGAATTGTATTTTAAAGAAATTTGTATTGACCGAAAAAAGTTGATTTATACTTTCTGACATATGATATGTATTTTTTACTAAGAGTTTCATCAGGTTTTCAGTATATACAGAAATAACTTGTTTTGGATACTATTTAATTTCCTTTTATTTCTAAAAAGATAAGATTTATTATCTTAGTTATATGTGTGACCGGTTGTAAGGAAAGTTCTTGCATATCCCCCTTAAACAAAATAGCATTTTGTTTCACTGTGGTATTAGTTTGTAAGAACGTGAATTGTTGTTTTGATGAATAGCTTTGAAGCTCCTCTCTTTTGCTGACGGTCAGAAAATCCCAAAGTCCTCCTTGCTGCTAGTCATGCCAGTTCTGCAGATACTTTCTTCTACGGCCTTGGAAGACTGCATATCCACGGATGAAGACGGTCCCTCAAGGCAGCAGTTGGCTCTGAAGCTTTTAGAAACGATACAGCAAGGGTGCTACAGAGACGACCACCAACAGGTAATGAAGTCCATCCTTGTCTCCCTTAAATAAAAGTAAAGTGGTAAAGTGGGGTTATGTCTCTGCAGGTCATCTCACCTCCTGATGAGTGTATGTGTGGGGCTTAAACTCTGTGAACTTTACCATATTGTTGGGCAGTTGTGTAGATGTCAGTATATTGTTCTGGGCAGGGAGAGAGGAAGTAGTCCTGTTGTGAAATAAGTTTTGGAAGTGCTGTAGAATCCTTTTTCTCTTCGAGTTTCCAGGTACATTAGTAGTAAAGGTCCTGAGGGATCCTGCAGAGAAGGCACTAGTTCTGTTTCACCAAGGGCTTCTCCCACTTACTTGGGCATGGACTGACTTGTCACACTGTTTAATAAGCGCAGCACGTTGCTGGATCTGGGACAGTTCAAGGTGGGAAGTCTCCTCAAATGCCTGAAGCTCTGAGATCTGTAAGGAAGATTTCATTTTGAATATGGCACCTTAGGCCCCCTTTCCTGGCATCCTGGGTGTTGGTGTCTTCTGTGCGCCCCTACTCTGCTGCCTTCGCCTGGAAGATGGCAGGCCCGTCACACCCCATTCCTCTTTCTGCCTGCTAGGCATACTCACTCCGTCTCACTGTTCCTGTTGCTTTTTACATTAGTATATTGTGAATGTCTGGATAGTGGCTGGGTCCTAGGCCTATATTTGCCAGACCTTCTCTCTTTTGCTCTTTCAGTTTTGCCTTCAGTGAAACTTACTTCCCAAGTACTACTCTTATGGAGATTGAATGAGGCTACAATAAGATAAAACTGGTGAAGCATCTTAAGTCTCCACAGAGAGAGGTATTACATAAATGCAAGCTAGTGCCATAGTTGTTTCATCTGCAAAAGTGGATCCCTCTAATCATGTGGTGTTAAATGTTCCAGCAGCAAACATCCGGGCATTGTTACTCTCTGAGCATGCAGCAGAAACTAGCCTGTAGGCAAATTGAATGTATCCTGCAGCGCCCTAAATCCTATTGGTTTGACTAAAACTTTAAAACTTGATATATGTAACTGATTTGCATTAAGAGAAGGAAGTTCTTGCATCTGCCCTGATAGGAGTACAAAATGTGGCTGAAAATTTCTAGTAGCTTTTTACCTTCCCCCTTGACTTGCCCATGCAGAACAATGATTGGATTCTGCATGGGATCAGGGGCAGGGCAGGAAGTACTATGTTTAAAAGTTCTGTTCCTTTAAATCATAAGTGATATTTACTGAGGACTCTACGACTTAAGTACTCAGCTTACTATTTGCTCAGGTGTGTGAATCTTATTTATCCACATGAATAGTGAGGCTTTCTCTTCAGCAGCTGGGTGAGAGGGAGGAAGGAATACTCTGAGGGCTATAAAAGTGAGGCTTTCTCTTCAGCAGCTGGGTGAGAGGGAGGAGGAAGGAATACTCTGAGGGCTATAAATACCTCCTGATGGTAGTATGCTTCTCTGAGTAGATATATGATCACTCCCCTTTTCCTTTAATCCCCATGTGAGGATGTGTTTTTAAAGTTGATATTTAGAGAGAGAAAGGGAGAGAAACATCAATCATTTGCCTCCCGTACACACCCTGATCGGGGAATCGAACCTACAACCTCGGTATGTTTTCTGACCAGGAATTGAACTTGCATCTTTTTTGGTCCACAGGACAGTGCTCCAACCAACTGAGCTACCCGGCCAGGGATGATCACCCTTTTTAAAAATTTAAACCACAGTTTATTTTTGGCTTTCCTTCTGCACCTGTCTTGGACTCTATATTCCACACATACCTATAAATTTAACATGCCCCAATTCTCCAAGTTTTTTTTCCAGAATCTTTGCTTTTTGTCTTCTTTGCCTGACCTATTCATTCTTCAAGACCCAGCTAAAAGTTCTCAGCCTCCCTGAGTCAGAATTCATTACTCTTCTTTGCATCCCTAGCATTTTACTCAATAACTAGAGGACCAGTGCACGAATTCATGCACCAGTGGGATCAGGCTGAAACTGGCTCTCCGACATCCCCTGAGGGGTCCCAGATTACGAGAGGGTGCAGGCCAGGGCAAGGGACCCCACCAGTTCACGATCGGGGCCGGGAGGGACATGGGAGGTTGGCCAGCCAGGGAGGGACTGGGGGAGAGTTCCAGGGCACAGCCAGTCCATCTAGCTCAGTCTCAATCGGCCGGACCCCAGCAGCAAGCTAACCTACTGGTTGGAGCAACTGCCTGAAGGTTGCCAGACACTCCTGCATTGAGTGTCTGCCCCCTGGTGGTCAGTGCACATGATAGGGACTGGTCAACCAGTTGACTGCCCCCTGGTGGTCAGTGCAAGTCATAGTGAGTGGTTGAGCAGCCTTAGCATATCATTAGCATATTACTCTTTGATTGGTTGAATGAACGACTGGAGGACCGGACACTTAGCATATTAGGCTTTGATTATATAGGATGTTATGCTTAGTTTAGGGATTGCATATTTGTACCTCTAACTATGCTATGAGCTCACTGAGGGAAGGAATCTTGGCCCTGTTCATGCTTTTTTTATTTTCTAAACATGTTAATATTTAAATTGCAACAATTGTTGAAATTTTTGTATTTTTCCCACCCTGTTTCTGCTTTATCTTTTTTAGCTGACCATAGAGGAGAAAATTAAAAATATTTAGCCAGTTGTTAAATACTTTTCTACTTTCCACATACTTAAAGCAACAGATAACATCCTACTTTATCTTTGCATTCTTTATATCTGAACCATTGTTTGTCACATATAGCATTATATTAGTTCGGGTGTACGATATTATAGTTTGATATCTATATATAAAAAAGGCTAAGTGTCTGTCTGACCGGTAGCTATGATGTGCACTGACCACCAGGGGGCAGACACTCAATGCAGGAGCTGCCATGATGCGCACTGGCCATCTGTATATGTATAAAAGGCTGATATGCTAAGTGTCTGACTGTCCAGGTAATGACGTCACATAGCAATGCCCAGCTTCTTCTCCCTAGCGATTAGCCTCCTTGCAGTTTCTTCAGCCCAGGAACCCAACTTTGCTTTATAGCCAGGTGCAAGCATTTTATAGTTTAACCAAATGTTTGTGAAGTGTTTTCACGTGCCTCATTTCATTTGATCCTCACAGAATCCCTGGAGTAGGTACATAGGAGACTCGGTAGAATCCTATTTTCTTTTCATTAGCTGGAAATTAGAGATATAGAAAGTTTAGAAACTCGACTCGACTGAAAAGAAGTAAGAAATGGTGCACCTTGAAAATGACTTCAGGTTTTCTCACTGCACAGAACATAGTCAAACACGGCTGCAGTTAAATATTTTACCCTTTGTTCTCCCTGCGTGATCTACAATAATAATCTGCTTCGTGTTGATATTTTCTGCTTTGTTGCTGACAATTATCTGAAAGAGAAGTTGGGGTACTTCACTGGGCTGGAAAAGGTTTAGCTAAATCAGAAAGCAGGTCTAATTAAGCAAGTTTATTCTATATCTATAAAAGGCTAAGTTGACTTGTGCATGTATGATACATATAAAGCTCTTGCTGGCACCAATCGCACATGTGTGTTTTGATGTCATTGTCAATTGTGAATTTGATTGACACTTCTATTATAGAGAGAGGGCGAATAGCGATATTAAAATATTCTAATTTCCTTTCAATGTGCACAAATCTGTACACCGGGACACTGGTATGTATATATTGAAAAATGATCACTACAATGAGTCTAGTTAACATCCATCATCACACACAATTACAATTTTTGTGTGTGTGTGTGAGATGAGAACTTTTGAGACCTACTCTACTTTTAATTATACAACACAGTATTATTAACTATAGTCACCATGTTTTACATTACATTCCAGGACTTATTTATTTTATAACCATAAATTTGTACCTTTTGATTCACTTTTCCTATTTTGTCTCCCTCTCATCCTGTTCCCTGCCTCTAGCAACCACCAATCTGTTCTATGTAGCTATTAATTCATTTTGTTTTTTAGATTGCAGATATAAGTGAAGTCATATGGTATCAGTCTTTTTCTGTCTGACTTATTTCACTTAGCATAATGCCCTCAAAGTCCATCCAAGTTGTTGCCAATGACAGGATTTCTTTCTTTTATATTGCAGAATAATATCAAGACCATATTTTGTTTCATCGGCATAGTAGACCTGTTGTAATGAGAAGCTTTTTAGTAATTAATAAAACAAGAGTCTTTGTGCTTCCTTCTGTTTAAGTAACAGGTGGTTGAAATTATTACTTTTGCTTTCAGTAATCACAGTCAGGAAATTTCTGTTCAATGAGGAATGTGTACTCTGATAGATCATTTCACCATCTTGATTTATTACAGAAAGACCTTTGTAGAAAGACCTCTGTTGTTTTTATTTCTATCAGTTCATTTTAGACTGGTGACTCTGACTTAGTGTTTGATTTAGAACTTAAGGAGTTCTCAGTAGCCCAGTTCTGGTGAATGGAAGTGAAGGTCAATGCCATGCTCTAACCATTGAACACACTGGCCAGGCTCTAGGCTCTACCTTTGATAAGCCTGTTTAATTACTGTGATAGATGAGTATTATTCTTTTAAGTTAATGGAAATATTTATTTTTCACCTGTCTTTACAATTTTAGACAAAGAAGTACTGCTATAGATGTCTGTCTTATTGTTAAATATTTAACACACCTAAACATTTTTATTAAAAGCTTTTTTAAAATAAAGCTTCCCAATTCTTTTATATCTGTAAAGGATGCTTTATAACCATTTAATATTTATTGAAATGCAGTTATTTTTGATATGGTTTTATTTTTTATAGAGATATGATTCACTTAACATAAACCTTTTATTTTCAAACAACCACTTTCTCCTCTAAAACACAGCCCAATAGCACATTTACAGGTCCTTGCATAGGCTGGGGGGCCAGGATTTGGTGGCTGGTACTGAGAGAAAACCTTTGTTGCGCCCTCGCCTTGGGATTGTGCCAGGGAACCACACCCGTCCCTCACTGGGCCAGAGAGATTGTCCTGTGATATCTTATTCAACACCATGCCCTTCTCCTGCAAACAAACCAGCAGAACCCAGAGCCCAAGCTGGACATAATAGTTCAAGTAAAGTAGGATTGCTTTTCTGTTCAGTATGTTGACTGTTACATGTCTGTGCGATGTTGCTGCTTTTGACTTATTGTTTCTGGTGATTTCCAATTATTTTCTTTTATACTCCTATCTACCAGTTGTATTTTTCTCTCCTAAAGATGACAGTGATAATATTTCCTGTATTTTGCAACTTTAGATACTGTGCTAGGTGCTTAATTCATATTGTATTATTACCTACCTCGTAATCTTGACAGGAAGGTAGTCATAACTTCCGTTTTACAAATACAAAAAGCAAGTCTCAGAGATTGTGTAACAGCCAGTTGTTGCCATGGCTGTGCTGAGTCCTCGTCTTTCAAATCTCATGCCCAATGCTGTGTTCTTAGTCTAAAGAAATGGATTGTAATCTCTAATGAATTGCATTTTGGGGGAAAAGTTGTATTTGGAGAGAAAGAGAGCTATAATAAACTTAGATATTTAATTTTTTAAATTATAATTTTAATAAATTATAATACATAACAATAATTTAAAGTTATAAAATGGTGTACAATGTGTAGTCTCTTTTTCTCATCGTGATTCTAAGTTGTCCAGTTTCCACTCTTGCAAATAGAAAATGAAAATTGCTGTATATTAATTGCCTTTTTATTTGTGTAGTTACTTACCTTTGCATATACAAGCAAATACAAATATGTAGTATCTCACTCCACCCTTAAAAAATGTAATTGGTAGTGCCCTAGCCGGTTTGGTTCAGTGGATAGCGTGTCGGCCTGCAGACTGAAGGGTCCCAGGTTCAATTCCAGTCAAGGGTAAATGCCTGGGTTGTGGGCTCAATCCCCAGGAGGGGGCTTTCAGGAGGCAGCCAATCAGTAATTCTCATCATTGATGTTTCTCTCTCTCTCTCCCTCTCCCTTCCTCTCTGAAATTAATAAAATTGTGTGTGTGTGTGTGTGTGTGTGTGTGTGTGTGTGTGTGTGTACACATATCTATATATATAAAAGCCTAAGCAACCGGCCAACCTGCTGGTAGCTATGATGCACAATGACTACCAGGGGGCAGACGCTCCAACTGGTAGCTATGATGTGCACTGACCACCAGGGAGCAAGCAGATGCTCAACACAGGAGCTGCTGAGCTGCAGTGACTTGGCAGTTGCAGTTCTTAGGTGACATACCCCAAACCAGAGAGGAGGGAGCCCGATTCCAGTGTGTGTCACCCGAAAACTGCCCTCTCGCAATCTGGGACTCCTTGGGGGTGTTGGAGAGCCGGTTTCAGCCTGGTCCCCGTAGGCCACAGGCTGCCTCTTACTAGGGTCTGAAGCTGGGCAAATGCAATGTTTTTCATTTGTGTGGGGTTTTTTGTATCTTTCCTCTCGTTGGTGAATACTTTCTTAGTGATAATGGCTTTTCCAAACGGTGTTGCCTCTGGGTCTTATTTATTGATCCTTTTTGTTTTTTTCTTCCTTAACTGGGAACAAATAGTAAATAAGAGGAAAAGTAGTGCAAACTGTTCCAGAGTTTCTTATAACAACTGTTTTCTCCTTGTGTAATTCCATTAGCTCCGTGTGCAGAGTTTGCAGAAAGCATTGAAAATTCTGTACTCATTTTGTTGGAAGGATTGATTTCTTATTATGAAATATAAAACATAAATGCATGTCAGGAAATATATTTCTGACCAATATATTTACCTCATTTTCTTCATACCTTTTTATGCTTTTATTTTTCAGCTGCCCTTTAAGCTTGCACTCCCCATTTCTAGCACATACGCTTCAATATTTACAACCTGGAGGATCCTTGAAGTACTGCGAGACGAGTCTGCAGCGAGTGACTGGCTGGCTTCAGTAGAGTCCTTGCTCCCTATTACTACAATGATCCCTGTGCATGTTCTTCTGCTGCTGGTTCACCTCCTTGTTGAAGATAAAGGACAAAATCTTCGCCAAATACTGAAGGTCACCACAGAATTAGCCCAAGCGGATTCCTGTCAGGTAAAGAAAGGCTTTCTCTTTTATTTCCTGTCCTTATCATCCCAATCTGTTATTTCCTCTCCTTATGTATGCAAATGTTTCTTTAATGAAAGCATACTTTACAAGGAAATCTTCCATGATACTATTTTGGCATTTTTGTTTATTGGTGGATTTGCTAATTTGAAGTTCTTTTGTTAACTCTTGCAGCCTATTTAAGATGCATATCCTTTCATTCTAATATTGATCTTTTAAGATAGATGCAAAATAATTGAGTTTAAAGCTGCCTATCTGATAGGCATTAACTACTTTTAATGTTGCAATTTGATCCTATCTTTATTCAGTAAATTAATAAACTAGAAAGTATTGGTTCCTTGCCATATGACATTGATCAACATTCTGGGATGTGAAGATAGTCATTCTTGCTATCTGCATGGAATTGGAGTGTAATAAGAAAGTAGTCAGACATTACTAACCCCCCCCCCCCACCTTTTTTTAA